GTAACAGTGATTCAAACCTTGAGTCATTTGTCGGTGTTAGCAAAGAAGGGAAAGATGGTTTGCTTTGGTATAGAGACGTTGGAAGATACTGGTCTGGTGAATTTTCAATGGCTGTTGTTCAAGCTAATCAAGTAATTGAAGACCAAAGCCAGATTGAGTCTGGACCTTTTGGAACTTTTGTTGGTGTTTATGATGGTCACGGTGGACCTGAAGCTGCACGTTTTGTCTGCGATCACTTGTTCAGGCACTTTCAAGGTCTGTTCTTTTTAAATATTTTTTTATCAAATATCTAAAAAAGATTGTTACTTAAACGAAAAACACTTTGTCGTGTTCCTTTTATGTCATTGAAATGGCCACGTTTCTCACTAACCTTTGTGGATTCTCAATCAATCAGTTCTTTTGCTTTGGAGATTTTGAAAGGTTCTGGTAGTCATTTTCTTTCGTTGCTCTGGATTTTTTTTTTTTTTTTGTGAATCTAGATGAGAAGCTATTTTGTGCAGTTGTATTGGATGATAGAGAGCTACTTGTTTTCAGAGTATAATATAGTGAAGAAAATTTATTGGGATTTGAAAGACGGGATTTTGCATGTGAATGTCATGGACTGGGAGGTCAGTGCTTATTGGTAATGCTTGCTTTTAATTGCTGAAAGTGATTCAGTTTTTTGGAGCTGTTCACTTTTGTGGTTGTATCTGTCTTGTCAATTTCATGGATAACTATTAAGTGATATTCAATCGGATTTGCTTTCTGTGTAAGCTTCTGATTGGCTTTTATGAGTATGGAGTTTTTTTTTTTTTTCTTGCTTTAAATTGCAGTTTTAAACTTGGAACAGGATGATTAAATGTAAGCTTAATGATTAGTGTTTAGCAGCCAAATGCCTAGTTTTTGCTATCGATACCCAAAACATATGCAATTTCTTACTTCAAAAGTTTTCAGATTGTTCAAGGCACTATTTGCAGTGTTTAGGAATTTCACATTTTGGCTTTTAAAACCTAAATTCATTCAGCTTTTTTTCTTAGATTAAAATCTAAGCTAGTGCTTCTAAAATCTGTGCTGGACAAATGCATTAGCTCTACGTAGAAACTAGATTAAACTTAAGGGTGACGTGGGCTTTGAATTCCAGTGAAAAAACAGGGCATATATCTTCCTTTTTTTTATCATTTTTGTTTTGTAAAATGTTTTGATATTTTTTTTGGTTTAATGTCGTTTAATCTTAAAAAAATATCGTGCCTTGTGTTGGCATTCTTAGGCTTTGTGGTTATGCAGCCATTTCAGCAGAGACACATGGTGTTGTGACAAGCGAGACCATCCAAAGAGCTTTCTGTGCAACAGAGGAAGGGTTTACCAATCTCGTGTCAGAGTTATGGAGCAGTCGTCCCCAAATGGCAACAGTTGGATCATGCTGTTTAGTTGGAGTGATATATCAGCAGACCCTCTTTGTAGCAAACCTGGGAGATTCCCGTGTTGTACTGGGCAAGAAAGTCGGCAACACTGGAGGTATTGCTGCAATACAATTATCAACTGAGCATAATGCAAACCTTGAGGTCATCAGACATGAACTCAAGAACTTACATCCAAATGATCCCCAGATTGTTGTTCTTAAGCATGGAGTTTGGAGAGTAAAGGGGATTATTCAGGTTATTTCAAACCCCAATTTAACCTTCAGAATATTTCAAATTAAAACACATCTTAGGTGCTTTTGTATTCTTTTGTTTTTTTGTACTCTCGGAGTGATAAATTATGAAACTACTTGGTGGGCTGGACTTTTAATGGTTCTTGGTTGTTTATCATTTGGTATTCATGATAGCTGTCCCGACTTCTTTCAAGAAGTCGTCAACTTTGTTGTAGCTGTTAATGCAAAAGCAAATTTACCCGTTGCTATACAATTATTTTTAAAACAATTTTTTTGAGTTATAGAATTGTGTAGAAGATTTACAAGCTGCAAGAACCATGAACTGGAGATGAGAAAGAACAACATAAGCCAATACCAAACCCGAGCACGATTCACATGCTCTGACAACCAGGTCTTTTGCAGATATCACTTCAAATATAGTTGAGATGGTTTTATAGTCATTGGTCAGAGAAAAGGTTCATGTATAGTCGTATAGAGGCAAATTAGTTGATTGAAGATAATCTTCGTTGTTCTAGGTAACCTGAAATTCACTTTTTACCCGTAGGCATTCCCTTTTGTGCTCGATGGATAAAATGCACCACATCTCAAGCTAGATGCTTGTTATTTATATTTTCTGACAAGTTTAAGAAAATAAGCATGTTGATTATGAAAGGGAATTTGAACATCCTTTATCTAGCCTTTGCATCGATGAAGGGTACTTTGAAGTCAAGTACGTTATGGAAACTCCTTGGAGTACATCTTGGTTTGCATCGGATTATCTTCATCTTGCTTCTTATTATTCATGGCATGTTCCTTTGCAAAGTCTAATTTCAAATAATGAAATCCATGATTATATTTGATGCAGGTTTCTAGATCCATAGGAGATGTGTATATGAAACATGCACGATTCAACAGGGAACCAATTAATGCAAAGTTCAGACTTCCTGAACCAATGGACAAGTCAATCTTGAGTGCCAATCCAACAATCATTTCACATCCTCTCCATCCAAATGATTCGTTCCTTGTATTTGCATCTGATGGTCTTTGGGAACACTTGAGTAATGAAAAAGTAGTGGATATTGTCCACAGTAATCCACGTGCAGTAAGAGTTTTCCCTTGTGTATTTGGTTGTCATACTTTCTACTTTGAATTTACTTTCATGCCTTTGCGTTTCTATTAAATAGGAAACAAATGACCATAAAGTTTTGACCTTTTTCTGGAACTCATATGCTGCTTGGTATTAACTTAAAACTTGCTTACTTGGTCATTTCATAAAAAACTCTTGGAAGAGTTTGGAAGGCAAACCTATGTCCTTTTCTCTAAGATGTATATAGTAAAAGCAAAATATCTTGGAATAGTTTGAAACGCAAACTTATGGAAGCATTACGGTGCATTTTATTTAGTAGATATGTTTGTCATAATCATAGATGAGTTTTTTAACATGATCTATTTGAGTTTTGACAGAGAAGAGAAGTGCATAGTATCATCATTGATGAGTTTCTACTTTGTATCGTATTTGGATTGTTCATCCATGATCTTTTTTCTCTAGTTCTTTGCATGGATCATGTATTGATACCCAAGGTGATCCATGGTCGGTTCATTGTCATATAATTAGGCATAGCGCAGCCTTGGAGTTAAATGCGTTTGATAAAGTCTGTGTTAGCTTGTTGATCATTGTGCTGGGATGCGTGTCAAGGAACCATTCAATGAGATTAGATATTGGTGATTTATATCATCATAGCATATTTAAAACTGACTTTTCAGATTGACTTCCTCTCGACTTTCATGAATTGCCTTGAATTGTTCGTGCATATTTGGTGTTTTAGATGGCTATTATCCACAGCAAAAGTAGATGTTATGCCAATTCTGCCTTCCCTAAGACATGTGCATTGCTGGGATATGGATGCCTGCACAGAAATGTAGATCATGCATTATGATCCAAAACTTATATAGTTGTCTCACAACAGGTGCTTTTTCTATATTTGCATTTCTAACCAACCTATGAACACTGTCAATCAAAGCTGTTGGAATGCTCCTCTCTTGGTAAAGCCAAATAATCTCACGGTTTTTTTTATTATTACCAGTGAAGCTATCAGCCTCACTGTGACTATTCTTGCATCTGACCACCCAGGTTTAGCTCTTGGTTCATTCTTCATCTTTTTTTTTTTCCCTTCATGTGTTCATTTTTTTTTCTTTTTTACTTGAAGGATGCATTTAAGTGGTGGTTGACTGTATTCTTAAATTTATGCTTCGTATATGTAGTTCTTGCTCTAAATTTATCTGTGTTTCGACTCGTATTCACGAGCTTGTTTTACTGCAGGGAAGTGCCAAGAGGCTTGTCAAGGCTGCCTTACAAGAAGCGGCTAGAAAAAGAGAAATGAGATATTCAGATCTAAAGAAGATTGACAAGAAGGTTCGACGACACTTTCATGACGATATAACTGTGATTGTTTTATTCTTGAACCATGATCTTATATCCAAATCCAAAAGCGCTGCGCAAACACCGCCGGTTTCCATCCGGAGCGCTCATTAATCACCCGTTGGCATATTTCTGCTGCCTTATCTTGGACACACGCAAAAGCATCCTAGGCTCCTAGCGGATCAAGACACATATCAAGGCTACAGAGCTGCACTGACAAAGCGGTCGCGGTACCTGAGTGGGAATTCCAAGATTTAATTAAGAGCTTTAGAATATGTAAAAATGTTGTTTGTCAGGCAAATAAATAGATTGCTGCTAAGTCCGTGGATACCCTGATTATATTTTTACTTAAAATGTGTTTTGCCTTTTCAATAATCTATTTGCATGTCAGGCATATATATCAAATGTTATAAATCGTGTTTGGAAATGTTTTATAGTAATTAGGTTTAAAGTGTTGATTTTTTTAAAATATATGAAAGTGATATTTTTTAAAAAAAATTATTTTTAATATTAATATGTTAAAATAATTTAAAAATATATAAAAAAATTAATTTTTAAAAAACATGATTTAAACTGCGAACACACCCTTCCTTCTGCACAAGGTGTGGTAGGCCCAGAGGGGCAGGCAACTGTCCAAGAATATCGAAAATACCATGGCCTCATCAAAACCTCTGAACGACATGTCAACATGCCTCGAAACACGAGGGCTTATTTATTTACCCGTATCAGCCCAAATTCAAATTCCATGGCCGTGTGAGTCCCTTACTGGCCTCCAGCGGAATTCCTTTCTTCTCTACGCAATCCATCAAATGCACCTTCCCTGAATTCCTCTTCTTCAAATCTAACAGTTATCAAACATAACTTCATGGCTACGAAACGAAATCAATCTAAAGCTTTTTATTATTGCTTTATTTCACACTGACTCTCCTCTTGTCTCAATCCCACTCAGCACCACAACCCATCCGTCGTGACCCCGGCCCCCTTACGGGCACCATAGCGCTATTCACGATGTCCGTGACAGCGTCCGATCCTACGTCCGCCGCATGCTCCACTCTCGCGCCGAGGTATCACTACAATATTTAATCATCAATTAGATTACAATTACAATTTAGATTCGCAATAATTCATTCGTGCTCATTTTAGCTAAACTTAACGTCGTTTTGAATCATGTAGTAATTGTTTGTAATTCCACTGAACTGCGTGTTTTATTTTCAGCTGCCAAATTGTCCGCAATTCCAGTGTTGCTGATTTTCTGTTCGTTTAAGTTAAAAAATTTAATATCTACAGCGTAATTCAAGTGAAAAACACAGATTCTTGCATTTCTGTTAACTTGTATTTATTTATTTTGTGTTTATGAGATTTTTTTTTTTTTTTATTGATGTAGGTGTCTGGTCGGCTTGCGCGTTTCTGATCTTACCGTTTTTAAGTTAATGATTATGTAAGCCTTCAATAACCATGATATTAGCAACCATAGAGGCTTGAACTTGAGATTATAGAAGGAGCAAACCCTTTCATCTAAGCTTTTACCACTAGACCACCTACTAGATGGTGATGTTTATGAGATAATTGATTTTATGTGCTGTGATGCAGATTCCGTTGGAGGTGAATGCAGTACTGATAGGTTTTAATGGCGATGGAGGGTGTAGGTTTAGTGTAGATTCACATAAATTACAAGATTTTCTGAGGACCAGCTTCTGAACTCACAGACCTGCCGGTGAGCCTCTTGACATTGAGCATCAAGTCATTTTTTAAGTGTTTCCGGCAATCTCTCCCTAAAGTTAGCATTGTTAAGTAATTGTGCTTTGCACGCTTGAAGTTACAAATTTGTGTTTGTAATGTTGTAGTGGAAAGTCTTCAATACTACCATTGCACCTTTACATTTTCAGCTAAGAATTCAGTTTTGTGGGCTGCATTTGAGTTTTGCTTGAAGGGACCCATAGAAAGGAGAGGTATTACAATGGGAGAATTGGAGAATTTCCTGAGTATTAATAGTTTTTTTTTTTACTCATTATATGATAGGAATGACACAAGTTGTGTTTTTATTTGTGCTGTTTTGTCAATAGGCTGGGCAGCCAGAACTGATTGCACATGAGAAGGCATTGAAACAGAATACGGTTCCTGCTGGGAATGCATGAGAGGTGAGTAATGCAGTGGATATAATATGTTCATTGTTTTGGGGGAGTAAGGTGGAGTGTGTTTTTACAGGAAACTCTGGATTCTGTATTTTCTTTTACTTAGACTGATTTTGGAAGGGAAGTGCCAGTATTTCGCAAACTATATTTGTACTCTGCCAAAGATAATCATCGACCGTTCCTAATGCAATCTTTCTTGTAAATTTTGATAAGGTATGGTTTTAAATTCAATCCTTTTTTTCTGGGAAAATCAGTTTTTTGACTTCTAATTTTCATATAGAAACAACCATTTTGACGTTGGAAGTCAAATGCTCATAATGTTTTTTTCCAGACCATAGCATTACTAGTTTGGGTTTTGTCGGTTTTGTGGTGGTATTAGTCATAATGGTGTGAACTTCATTCCCCTATGATCATGTGTGCCTTGGTTTGGCCCTCGATTGCAGGTGAGAATGGACCTTGGAAGTAAGGAAATTGACCTAGACAATGTATGGCAAACTTAAGGATTTGTCTGATGAAGACTTGAGGAAACAAATGGGAGACTCAATATAATGGAGGGGGAACAACTCAAGTGTGGCTGGGTTCAGACAGGTACAGAACACGATCAATATGTTATTGTGTCAAAGTAAGAGAGAGTCATTTGTGGAACAGTATTGGTTGTGCCTGAAGTTTCCTTGAGTTTAATTTGGGTTGTTATAAAAGTGCAAATATAGCATTCTAAATGGACTTTGTGGTTAAGGATTTAGATCGAATATGATATTCTTATTTGATAGCCAAATCTTGCTTCTTTGGTGTATTTGTTACTCAATATAATCATGTATGAGGTGATGCAAGCAGAAAATAGTCGATCCTTTTATTACATTTCTTGTTTGTTATATTTTCATGAAATTTTTAAGATCCTTGGTTCAGCTTCAGCATACAGTTACCTTGAAATAGCAAGCTATGAAGTTCATAAAACCTATCTGGCATATGAAAATCCATTAAAAATCATAGAAAAAGTTCATTAGCAAGTACTTACAAGATTTTATTTTAGCTGCAGATTACTAGTTCCAGTCGAGTTGGACGTGTGTAAACTGCAGTTGGTGAATTATCTTTATGGTTGTGAATCTCAGGACAATTGCTACAGAGTATCTAAAAACCCCCCTTGGTGAACCTGTCAAAGGCAAGAACAAGACAACAACCAAACTATGGTTGGAGAAGTTCTACCAAAAGACAACGAGCTTGCCAGAACCTTTCCTGCATGAATTAGGTCAACGGTTGGAGAAGTACCTAGATGTAAGTCACCCATGTCTAGAATAGCGCCTTGGAATTCAGACTTGCAGAATTGTTCTGTTGATTTTATTTTTGGTTTAAATAACAGCGCCTTGAGGAACAGCTTGTAGATCTGTCTTCTTTCTTTATTGTATGATCACCGGTTACAAGACACACATTTGAACATTTCGGAAGTTCTTCAAAGCGCTGTCTTCACCCATCAGCTAGTTAGCTTTGACTTATTTAATCCTCCATTAGATGATTATTTGTCTTTGGTTATTCTCCTCCAAACTGTGCTTTAATTTGACTATTTCAGTGGGTTAAGTTTTAATTTTACAGTCCATAATGCAGGTATCTTGAATATTTGACTAGAGTGAGAGGGAGAGATGCTGTGGCATGGAGTTCAAATGTCCTGTACATTCGTCGCAGACTTATATATACGGAGGGATTCTGCCTGCTGGGTTCATTGTGTATTTCGTCGTCGTTTTCTTTTCCAATCCTGTCCGATGACGATCCCAACCAAGAGACTGTTCTCATTTTCTGAAGGCATTGATGTTTTGTTGCGGGTGGGAAAAAGCCCTATACCGGCGAGTATAATGCTATAAAGAAATTTTGAGTGCTCCTTTTTGTATTTTAAATTAGAATAATTTGATAGATTACAGCTTTTCATGCTCGTTCATTATTTTCACCATCAAACCCTGTGGAGGCCATTTGATTCCGCTGATTATCGATTAGTGGAATACTTTCCATTGTGGGTTAACGGCTTCGCTTTGTCTTTAGTGGGTTCAAATTGATACTGGCAGAATGGGCAATAGAATGAGGGTTGTGGAATAATTGTTGCATAAAGGAAAATTATGATAATTTGTTTCAAGGCAAGGGGTACTTTGTTTTAACATTTGTCCGCTTGAAAAAGTATCTGTTTTATTTTTAATATTATCAAAAACTAAAAAAATATTATTTTAATATATTTTTAATTGAAAAATATTTTTAAAAATTACATTGGACCATGATACACTCTTTTTATTTCATGAGAAACAAATATAGTTTTCTGTTTAAGGAAGAGGTATCAAGAAAAATCATTACTCTCAATCATTTCTCATAATTAATTTATCAAAATAATTAAAAAGAAATAATGTATATCTACAAATGGAAGTTTCCTTTTCTTTTCTTAGAATCTCATAAATAAATAAAATAATTAGTTCTGAAATTTCATTTGCATTGTGTCTTTAATTACGAATTAAATGAGATTAATTATTATATAGCTCTTAAATATTACTTACATGCCTTTGAAATCTTTGTTAATGGGTCGATTCCTCCTTTAGCTTTGTTAATTTTTTACACTAAATTAGATTCCTCTTTTTATTGGCGTCGGCAATATATTCTTTGAGCATATTTGCTTGAACACAAACTTGCATATTGGCCTCCGATGGGGGAATTTATTTGACAAATTTCCCCGAGGTCGCATTTTTATGCATTGCAAGTCATAGAACCGTCCTTCTTCAATTTGTTAAATTTTGCCCATAAAAGTTTCCTATATTCATTGGAGTATTCAGGTAAGATTCCATTTCCAGTATCAGGAAAGGTTCGACAGCGTCTGGACTTCGACATGGTACATCACCCTTCCATGGACACAACAAAGATGACAAAAAGAAACGATTTAAAATAAAAACAGATCAGATATAGCTTTCTAGGCAGCAATTGTGCATCAATTAAAGCAGCTGATAAACAGCTTCCTCAGAGCCCAGTGCATATTCATCATCTCCGCATCAAACAATCCTTACAAAAACCTAATCGAAGTAAAATGAATAATCATGGTGTAAGACAAAATCACAAGAAGAGAAGAAAAACCCATCGATGGAAAATCATCATTAACAACAATGGGTTAACGAAGGGGTCCTCAGCAATTATGCTTGTAGTTGTCATCCAGTGAAAACAATCAGGTCTCAAAGATTACATGCCATCATAGGATCCCCGCGCCATATACAAACTGATCCAAAACAAATAATATTTCACAACTAGAAAGAAAATAGGAAAGATAGATTTGGCAGGATATAATTCACTGCGCCTGTGGAGAACAGAGGCGCAGCGACTCAATTTCTGCTCAAACTCTAAGCCTCTTGCAAACGAAAAAATACTTTCAAGAAACCAAAAACAATTATTGTATTTAAGGTTTCTATCAAGAGGCATCAAATGAGTAAACAAGCTTTAAAACACGCAAAAACATACATAAGAAAAATGAGACAGAGAGAACACGAAAGGGCAAGAGAAAAGCATTGCTAAACATGTTAATCGTCACATCATGATAAAACCCTAAATGGCTTCTGCTTGTTGGGGTCACGGCATTATATACTGGTAGCCAGCAAGATCTGGTAGGCTTTTTTTGGGCTGCCGATTACCGAAAAACCCCTCTGTGTACACAATAGATAAAGTAGACTTGAAAGAGCCCAATGGCAAGTCATGTCCACAGCTCATTGTTAAAGCTTTGAATCCAGACCCAGCCCATATCACCTTGTTCTTTCTTTTTTATTTTTTTAGTTTTTATCGAGAGGCGTTGCCGTGAGGGAATTATTATTTTGTTTCTATGTTTTTAATGAAATAATTAGTTAATATTTTTTTTATAAAAAAAAACGTTGAATTCTTATATTTTATTTTTTTATTTATTCCTTTTAGTTTCTTATGATGATTTAGTTATTTATTTTCTAAAATGTCTCATTTTTAATTAAAAAATTAAAAATCTACTAAAAGATGAAAGTTTAGAAATCTCAAAAAAAAATTATGATTTTTGAAAACTATTGAGTAACTTAGGAGGTCATTAGGTCTAATTCTTATTACTTTGGCTGAATTATTTGTAATACATGGCTCATTCGAATTAAAACTAATTTTAGGAGCGGCTTAGCTCGGATTGCAAATGGATAACTCTCAACATTATAATTTTGGTTTTAGGGTTGTGTCGAGAAAAATAGATGTAGTTTGCAAGAAAAAAATCTTCTTACAAAACCCAACTTATAAGTTAATTCTTTGTTTATAATTTGACCAAAAGGATCTCCAAATATGAAAATCAATCGACAATTAAAAGCATTCATGATAGACAATTACAATTTTTTTTAAAAAAAAAAAAGTGACAGAGCAGGTTCATAGAAGCAAAAGATGCACTCTTTTTATCCATCTCCATTAAGGTTTTCTAACTTTTATACCCATTCCTGTTTATATTAGAGGTGATTTACTACTTACTCTCTATACCCGCCATCATAAGAGGCGGATTTGCACCCGAAGTAGGTTCATGTGATTTTATTTTATTTTTTATCAATTTATATTGAGTGCACAAATCATCAAATTGCAACTATCAACAAAGTTAATCAAAGGTAATTTTAGAAAAAAATAATTACATAAATTATTTTAAATATATTTTGAAAAGATTACAAGTATAATGAATGATTTATGCGTATAAATTCGAGCAAGGAGATCCACAGGTAAAGGAGACATTACCCGCCTCCATGACCCAGGACGCCGAGTATTGTTTTACTCGTTTTCTCCTCTCATTTCTAGATGGAGAAAATCTTCTCTGTGCCCGTCTTCATTCGGATAAATAGGAATGGTATTCCATGAAAATAAACACAGTTACAATCCTTACAGTGAAGGCCGCTATAAGTTTTTTTTTTTTTGTAACTATCTCTTCGAAAGGATGAAGAGCTGAGATCGAAGTTCTAATTATTATTATATATTTTTATTTTTATTTTTATTTTCATTTGAGGCTTAAAGAATCTTGAATTGCACAAGAAGAAAAATATTTTTTAATTTCTGAAACAGCGACTGCTATTTTTATATTTTATGTTTGAGTAAAATTATTATTCTTATCCAATAATATCACATCTTCACTCTTCACTCAAATGCTTAAAATATTTGGTATTTGTAAGTTTGGCTACATCATCAACTTTCAATTTTTTTATTTTCCTAGACAATCATGCACACAAAAGGATGTTAAAGGAGTTGTTTGGTATTATTTATCTTCTAAAAAAAAACATAAAAATTGTTCGTTATGGATTTATTTTATTTTTTTGGAAAAAACAGAACCAACTATTATCACAAAATTTGGAAACACTTTATTTGATTTTGAGATTTTTTTTACATTAGTTGGTTTCTATAATTTTGAGGAAAAAAAAACTTATATCTTTGTTTTAAAATTTTCGAGAAAAAAAAAAACGGAGAACATGAAAATACCTCCAACCCCAAGCAAAATCAAAACGATCACAATTTAGGGAGACAGCCACATCTGTGCGTTGAGCTAATAGCCCATGAAAGTTCCACCATCAAACCCACATTCAAGCCTAACCATTTCGGTTTGCTTTAAATCCACCGGAACTCGTCTAGATTAGGCACTATTTGGGCCCCAAGAGCAAACTTTCATGTTAATCTTGTTAAAAAAATAAAACAATAATCTCAATCCATAAATCTTAAAATTATTTAATAAAATATTAATATATAATTTATGCTAATAATTAATTTTAATTAAAAATGATAAAATTCAAACATGTGATTAAATAGTTATTAAAATTACAATACAAATAATTATTTCAATCTAAAAATGTAAAGTTATTGGATAAGATATTCTGTTATTTTATACAAATAATTACAATACAAATAATTATTTCATGACTCGGAGGGAAGAGCTATCGGGTGTAAATATGCTGCGATGGGAAGGAATAAATCGCTGAACTGTGAAAGGGTCTGGTTATTAAAAAATAAATTAAATTAAACAAGTTTTATTAATTTAATAATTTACTCGATTTGATTTGATTAAAAAATTGAGTCAGTCAAATTTTAAATCCTGAATTATTGAGGTCGTCAGTTAAGTTGGATTTAATAATTATATCTTATACCGTAGAAAACAAAGAAAGGAAAAATAAACTAAAAAAAGGGCAGAGACGCTCATGGGCTATGGCAGAAACTGAAACCGTGAAAGAATTGCACGCGTGACACGTTGTCTTGTCCCTTGCAGGTTTAAGACGCGTGGACGTCACGATCACCAACATCAATAATGATATAACAGCATGTTCGGGGACAGAAGAGGTTTCTTATTTTAACATATATTAAAAAAAATATTTTTTTAAAAATATATTAAAATATATCTTACATTAAAAAAATCTAAAAATATATAAAAACATTAAAAAAAATTAAAAATATTTTAAAAACTAATAATCTTTAAATCATAGTGTCAGACCATTATTTTTTTATATAGTTTTTTTATTTAAAACAACATCATTATATATATATATATATATATATATAAAAAGATCAAACCTACTACCTAAGTTTTATTCTAAATTTATTCTCAATTTTGATTTTAAAATTATAAATAAAAAAATATAATTTTAACGTATTGTCTTATTCATTGTATGTTTAATATGTGTGGATGTTACAATCAGTATCGTCATTATGAAATTTTTTATTAAATCATGTTAAAGTCAATTCGATCTAAATTGATCAATTTTATGGATTTAAAAGTACCATGAACGATCATCAAAAACATAAGTTGGCTTTTAAAAAAAAATTAAAATGATAATCTTTTTAAAATACTGAGACAATGACAAATTGAATTAACTTTGATCCTTCCACGGTATGATTCATGGACTTTATTTAATTTGATAATTATTTTTATATTAAAAAATTATTTAATTATACAGTAAAAATAGATGCTCGTAAAATTACGTACCGACCTTAAAATAAATATTTATTCAAGACTATAATAACCCTGTGTAAAGCAAATAAAAATAAATCATGCAATTTATCTACTAACTAATCTAATATCAAAAGATAACAAAGTTTTAAAAAAATCAATTAAAACAATCAAATGAAAAAAAAACATATATGGTTGGTGGGTAAACTCGTTAAACTTATGAATCATGTAATCCGAGATAACACATCAAATTCATGAACCAGGTTATTAACCCCGTTGAAATTATCATTTGTTTTTTTTCAAGCTATTTTTTATTTAAATATATGATACCAAAAATAACAAATTCACAAAATCAAACATCAACTCAATATCAAGATATTTGTTTGAGATCGTGATAGCCTCATAAAAAAATAAAATAAAACTAATTATGAAACTAAATTTTCATTAAAACCAGCATATATAGATAAAATAATAAAAAATAAGTTAGACTCGTTAAATCTACAAACTAGGTTAATTAGCCAAATATGTGGATAGTTTTATGAACTTTATAACGTTTAATAATATAGTTTTTTTTTCAAAATTATTTTTTATAATCATATGAGAAAAAATAGATAATAACAAAATCAAGTCTAATTAAAAAAAACAAATAAAAAGAGAAGACATCTTAAAACATTGTTGACCGAGGTAATTGGGACTATCTTGGTAAATTTACAAACCTTATTAACCATGTAAAAAGGTACAATGCAAAGAAATATAAACTTATTTCTTAATCACCCTGTTATTAAAAGATGAAGTAGACAAAGATAAATTAAAAACAAATAATGGATTTGCTATTGGAATCCACAATACAGTGGGTTAGGGTGAACAATAATTATCTCACACCCTTTAATTTTTATTAGTGCATATTTTTATATTGTTAGATATTATTTATTGTGTGCCATATAGTTAGTATTTTTTGCTACTTCCAAGGATCAAAACTTATTTTTGGCCACTTCTAAAGGTCAAAGCTTTTTTAAACATGGAAAAAAAAATATTTAGGTTATAGTGAACTATTTAATACTGTTATTAAAATAGATATAGCTGATCAACTTTGATTTTTCTCGGTTTGATTCTTGTCCTAGCCTTAGCTTAAAATTAAACTTATAAGAGTTGTCTTTGTATGATCCTATTAACTTGAAAAGTTTAAAAACAAGTTAAACAACCTATAAAAAAATATAGTTTGATTTATTTATTTTTAAGATGATATTTTTAAAAAAATACCAAGATAATAATATATTAGATAGACCTAAACTTTATAGTTTTACAAAGTGCATACATGACTAAGTTCACTGACTCCACTAGGTTAATATCTTTTTAAAAAACTATTTTCTACTTAATGATGTATTAATAAAAATAAACGCTTATAAAATTAAGCATCAATCACTATAATATCTATTTAAAAATGCAATAATCTTCTAGCAAGTTAATTTAAACAAATCATAAAAATTAGTTCAAAATCAACCTATTATTAAAAAATTATACCTATATAAAGGTATAAAAGATTCAATCAAGAGAAACAAAATGGAAGATGATATTTTAATTAAAAAAACTATTTGACATTGTAGATCTAATGGTTAAACATTAAAATTTTCTGAGTTAAACTCCTTGATTGACATGTGTTTAAAATTAAAATGCATGAAAGTTGATTTTACATGATCCATTTAACTTTCTAGGATGAAAAACATATCAAATAATCGGTAAAAACATGGTTTAATTTTAAAAAAAATTCAATAACAATTTTTTTAATATCAAAACGATAATTTATTGAATTAACCTTGGTTAATAACACAAAATAAATTATGATTGGAAATCAAAATTAATAAAACATTGAAGAAAAAAAGAAAGAAAAAAATTTAAAAGGTATAATTTGAGAAATAAATAGAAAAAAGGAAAAAAAGGTTCATTTCTTAAAAAAAAAATTGAGGTGATTAAGTGCTTATATGAAAAGCTAAGCACCATGAAGTTCTCCACTTTTTTTTTTTTTTTTACAGTGGAGAGAGTAACAGATAATTTAAATCTCACAGGACTTTTAAATCAAAACAAATACAACTATAAAAATTATATTAAATCAACATTGCATCTACAATATAAAATGAAATTCTTATTATCAAACATTTTAATTGTTTTGCTTCACATCATAACACAACACAATCAAGTGCAAGACAACATAAAACAACAACCGAAGTATAGCACAAGGTAAGACATACGAGACAACATTGCCAAACAAACTTTTAGACATTTTCGTGCGCCAATACCAGACACCACTTGATAGGAGCAGCAGCAGTTGTTCTCTCAAAATCTCCATGTAAAGACAATATTTTATTGAAACGTGATGAGTCTGTATTTGCTCACGCATAATGGTATCGGACTGGCATCCATAGAAGGCCGAAAACTTTGTTCTTCTGTGAGAACAATCGATCAAGGAAAACAAATAAAATAATTAATTTCAGAGAATAAGTCCGCCACTTGCCTTTCAAGAATCGAAAAAGTTATACGCCACTCAAAAACCCCACAGCCGAATACAAATCAAATAAAGAATCCAGCAAGTAGCAATAACTCGAATAGCAGTAACATCGGCCTCGAATCTTCCAGGAGAAGACTTATCAAGCGGGTCGTAATGGCAGAGTCTACATGCCATAATTCGATCTTGACCCATGACAGAGCAAACGTGACCTACCAGCCAAACAAAAGAATACCAAACAGCCAACGAATGACCAGCCGCGCATCAAAGATTCAAGAGGGAGATCCCTTCCTTCCTTCCATCCACAGAAGACGAAACGTCACTGCACACGTACCTCACGAATAAAATTAACCCACGTGTACAAGTTTAGACTTCCAAGTTATCGTGAATCAAGTCACATGTCCCGTAAATTTTTTGTTTGGTGTGCCACCCCAACCCTCTCTCTCTATTTAAGACAACAAACGTGACAGGTTTTCCTGTTGTTTTGCCTGCCTTACTTTCATCAACAGCTTCCTAGAAAGAATCCCAAGCCTGATCTCTCTTCCCCGAAATGTGCCCATCTGGGACAAGTCTAGCTGCAGGGACCAAACGGGGTGATGCAAGATCAGATTTCAAGCCAGCATTTGATGTTATTGATGCAGACCATGACGGGAAGATAAGCAAAGATGATCTTCGCATGTTTTATGCAGGGTTTTCAAGTAATGGTGCTGATGATGATTTTATAGGCTCAATGATGTCTGTTGCGGATTTTAACAAAGATGGGTTTGTTCAGTATGATGAATTTGAACGTGTTTTGGATGGTGCTAATGAAAAGAAGAAATCTTCATCGTCAACAAGGTCTGGTTCCGAGGTTATGGAGGATGTATTTAAGGTCATGGATAAAGACGGGGATGGAAAACTGAGTGTCGATGATCTGAAGAGTTTTATGCAATGGGCAGGGTTTGATGCTTCTGATGATGATATAAAAGCTATGATAAAACTGGCTTGTTATTCTGGTGGTGATGATAAAGATGGCGTCACTTATAATGATTTCCTTAAGATTTTGGCTCTTGATAATTCTTGTTTTGCATAGTACTTTTGTAATTTTGACCTTTGATTTTATTCCTTTTTTTTTTAAAGAAGATCTCATTAATTTTGAATACGATATGTTTATGTTTATGCTCTGCCACATGAATTGTTATGTAGCAAATTATAATTTTTTGGTGGAAGATGATCCCAATTTGGATGCATTGCCAGCTTTGTTCGTGATGTTGATGCTTCTCTTAATGTCTTATTTTCTGTCTCATGCTGTGTGCCTATTAAAACTTCCTCTGATTTCTGCGGTGCCCAAATGCGCTGGTCTTTGCAGTGATGTGTTCACGTTTAGCTTCTTACCACCACGAAATATTTGTATTTATTCTTGTAACACAGTGGCAACTTCAGAAATATCAGGCCGTTTAGCATCCGGTTTTTTTTTTTTTTTTATCAATTAAAAATAATATTTTATTATATTTTTACACTTCTAAACAACCAAAACGTAGTTCAGCGGAAATCATGCAGCGGACAAGCCGTTGGGCAAAAGGAAAACTACTGTGAGAAAAGCATAGAATAACACAATTCTGCTGCTTGCAGAGTATTGCTGAGATACAGCACAAAATTTGAAACGTGAAAGACTCAAGTCAATTTCTGTTGCCGCTTACGCTTACAATCTGTTCTCAAAGATGGGCATAGGGAAGTATTCAAGAACGGTCGTCCCTGATGCTGATAAACACTGGGATAAAGGGGTGCTTCATATGCCAGTGGAATATTTACCACAACTGGGGAGCGGTTAGATATCTTCACTTCCGTTGCACAATGCTCGAGTTTCTTTGTTTTGCTTTTGTTTTTAAATGAGCGGGGTTTTCAAAGCACGCCATATGAGGTCGCAAGGCAAATGAAACTTGTGCTCTGCCGGCATCTCTCGTTTGTCAAGGTGGGTATTTAGGATTGTTCCAAGTTATTTTTTAAATAATTTTTAATTAAAAATATATTAAAATATTTTTTCAAAGGTCAAATGTTTTTTTTTTAAAATATCTAAAAACAAAAAACTGTTTAAACACCCAAAATTTAAGGACATTTTGTCACAATTTATCCGCAGAGGACACAGCAGAAAACTTGAAACTGTTCTGTGAATGATCTGGAAATTCAAACCATAGATAGCAGATATTAGTGTGTATAATACAAGAGATGAGACATTAGAGCCCATCAATGGAGATGACACATTGGACCTCATCAATAATACAAGGCATTTGGCATCAGATTCAGGAGAATATCATAAGACATGCAATCAACTACCACATCCTCCTGCTCTGACAACTAAAGTACTAAGCCAAGTTGCAACTCGAAGTAGCATTGTTAACTTCTGGCTCGCTGCTCTACCAATGCATTGTTAACCCAGAAGCTGGGATTATTTAGACCAAATCTATCTTCCCATTCTCTAGAGGCTTCTTTATGAACTTGTAACATACAAAGGTAAGTAAGTCGCGCTCCATCTCTGTGATTTCCATGCTGCCACAGTATATAGATCTTATCAGTCAGCAAACAGATAATTCATTTTCTTTCGTATAAGAAATCAAATACAACCCAACCGATAAAGAAGGGTTGCCTTGTAAAGGCCAATAATTGATGTCATTAATTACCTGTACTCAGGCTCAAAGTCAAGGCCAGAAAGATATTGCTTGGCTTTGCAGATAACGAATGTGTCCAGTCGGGGCACTGGCACTATTGATGTTCAGATTAGAACAATGAAAAACTCATTTTAGTAGCTGTCTAGGTGCTTGTACTCAACTAAATGAAAGTTAAAAAATGGACAAAACTGAGGAAAGATTAACTGGGACACTTCTTGAACATGGTAACAGAGATGCCTATCCTATGATGGACAGGAGAATCTACAAATTAGATGGCTAAACGAAAATATGGAGAGGAGAGGCTAAACGGAAGCAAGGGAGGAAAACGATATGCATAAAGCCAGTGATGTTGTTAATGAGCATATGATGCTATAAATACAGTGACAGCATTGTTTTACAAGAAATTAAAGAGGGAGGTAATGAAATCCAAACAACAGGAAACAGAATTAATTGACTAGCAGATAAGCAACAAAAACACTTCTAGAATAAGATAACACATGAAATCTAGGATAAAACAAGCTTAATGAGGAACATCACTTTTCCTCATTCCTAAGATCTGTAGATGCATGCCTTTCAGTCATAGAGGCATACATGTGCAAGGATCATCCAGTGCTTCAGCAATTTCATGGAACAGAGACTACAGAGTGCAGCAGCGAGCTACTAACAAGCTCATTTAACCATTGGGTAGCCTATGATTGGATAGTAGTTCTTGGGCACATCTAACAATAAAAAGGCTCGAGTAAGGTCAAATCCCTATCTCAATCACAGTTTCCGGAACTTGCAAGTAAAACAGGTTTGTCTACAAATCCAAAAATATTCGCTCAATGAGAATACTATAGTTACTGCAACATGCTTAACAAAAAGGAAAATCGTTCCAGTATTCCATTTGCATATTCTAATAAACACAACAAACAAATTGAGCCTCTTGGATAATGATTCTGTAAAAGCCAGCTCATGAATAACCCATTAACATGCAAAGTCACATCACAGGTTTTCAAACAAATAAAAAAATTTCGTGTGTTGATTCAAAATGCAGCTTCAAACTGGAGAACAGATGCACCAATTGCATTGGAACCAAATACAATAAGCAATTAATTTCTCAAATTAAGAATAGTATTTTGAGAAGAAAGCTTAATTATTGGCTAATAGATTGCTTTACATAAATGTAATTATCAGGCAAATTTGACAGAACAGTCTTGTCAAGATGACTTCCCAATTATCCGTAGTGTTGTACCATAAAATATTAAGCAGTGATAACCTTATTTAGAACCAACTAATAGTGAAAAAGTAATCATATGCGAAGACCAGAATGCAATTCAATAAGCAGAAAAAAATCAAAGGCATGGACAGAACAGACATGCAGATTAGCAGATAAACCATTACTTTCAGAATAAAATGAGAGCACAAAGCGTGGACACAAAAGCTCAAAGTAAGAACACTATTCGCTGCTTTGGCGCATGACAGCTTAGGGGACCAGTGCATGACAACCTAGGTTCGGTTTCACAAGCTCATTTCAGGCACTAGCTACATTTGCATTCACATTGTCATCACAAAGTAACATCAAAAAATCATGAAAGCAGTAGTTGGATGCATCCAACAATAGAAAGGCCTGCTTCGCTTGAAATCCTTCTCTCATCACTCAGATTGTGAAAATTACAGAAAAACAAGTTTTTTTGGAAAGCAGATAAATATTCTCTTGACAAGAATATTGGGATTTCTACAACATGCTTAATGGAAAATATAAACCATTGCTACAGTCCATTTGCATATTCGAAGAAAACAACAACTTGAGCATCTCATATAATGATTTGAAAATGCCAACTCGAGAATCAAAAGGTTGCCATGCATAGCAACCTCACAAGCTTCCAAACAAATTATAAAAATATCAGGCATGTTATGGTCCAATATGCAATTGACTCACAGCATGAGACTGAAGAGTAAATAGCACTGGATCCACACATCCATTCATACATAGTAAATAGAAATAATGTTTAAACACTTAAAAAAAACGTAGGAATGAAAGCGACTCAGAGAAGAACGAGTACCCATATCATCCTCTTCACTGGTTATAGATTGCTTTAATATGGACTGGTAATTATCAGGCAACTTCGCCAAAACAGTCTCATCAAGATGACTTCCCAAATCATCCGTGCACCTGTAATCACACAACAAACATCACAAATTAACAATCCAATTAACCCCAAACCACATATCTTTATCACAAACAAGACAATCACTTAAACCCGTCACCTTCTTGCAAACATTTGCTCCTGCTTAGAAAGCCGGTTTAGATACTCATCAGTTTTCAAAACATAGAACAAGTACTTCTCAATCTGCATTCCAGGCCCAACAAGCAAATCAATTCAACATAATCTCCAAACAACACCATAACAAAACACAAGAACTGACTACCTTCTGAAGACGAACCCGAAGATATGATCTCAGCAAAAATTGAGTCCTATCCAAGTCCATTTGGTAAAGCGACACAGTGAGTGGATCTATATTATTTGCTTCAGATATTTCCACATTTTGTTCCTACAAATCACACGCCAAGTCCATTTTGTTCCATGTAAATAATTTATGAACAAAATTGCGACATAATCTTTATTTCAATTTGACTAATTCATGTAGTTAAATCGCGATGCAAAACAAAAAATAAAACAATAAAATCCAATTTAAGCTTCTTACTTCTTAGCTTCGTAGAATTGGATTTACAATTAAGCTAAATAATAATAATAATAAAACGTAAATTACATAATCAGTCGAAAATCTGCGCTAAAGCAAGCTTCTCTAGGAAGAATTACTTAAAAATAAAAAATATAAATGAATAGACAGCAAAAGAAATATTTTCTCTACGATTTTTTTCCTCAGGAAACAAATAAAAAAGTTAGGGTTTCCGATTTCAAAAAGAAAAATTACCGCTAATTCGATTTGCTCTTTGATTCTTTGAACTAAGGAAGATTCAAATTGAAGAATCTCCGGAGCAGCTTTCTCGTTACGCCACGCTCTTTTCAAGAGCTCAACATCGGTCGTCGAAATTAACGTCTCATAATCATCCATCACGCTCGCTGATTCCTCCGTAGCCATCTGATCTAGTCTGAATCTCTTTGATTTTTCCCCCTCTTTTGACTTCTAAAATCTGTAATGGAGAGTTAGATAGAAATGTTAAAAGAACATTCAATTCGAGAGGGAAGATAGAAAAAGGTGGAATAGGAATTGGCGCCAAAACGGATCTATTCGGTGTAGTAGAGGGGACAGATCGCGAGTTTGTGCGTGAATCTAAAGCCATTGGTGGTCGTGTAGTGGACGGTTGTGATGGCCTCAGATCCACGCACAAACCAGAGATAGGACTCCTCTTGTTAGTCGAGAAGATGGGCTTGTTAAGGGGGCCCTCTAGAAAATAAGGAGCGGTAACGAGCTGATGTAAATGGGTTTTGTCTGTGTGTTGGCGGCTTTTTATAGAAGAGGAATGGGGTTGATGGTGGATGGATGGAGGGGCAATATTGTCACTACATTTCCACTTGTGTTTCTTTTTTATGTATTGGGTTACATCTGTAAAACTTGGAATTCAATGGTGGAGATCTACTTGTCTTCGAAGTATTCCTTCAGGTTGAAAGATCCATGGTCTCGTAGTTGATTCTCAGACTCTAAAGAGATCGACCAAGAAATCTGTCATGACCAAGCAAAAACAAACACTAATAAACCAATGAGCTAGGATAAAGCCAAGATCTTGTTAGATCTTTCAATTTGGCTTCAAATTCCCGTTTAATAGACAGCTTTTTTCACATCGAATTCTCTAAAATCTAGACATTTCAATTCTAGCCTAAACCTCAACCTTCAAAATCTCACGTGACAGACGTTAAAAGAGGTAAAAAGAGTATGGTAGTTTGAGTTCCTTCTTAACCATTAAAAATTTATATAGTTATTAATTTTAAGGTTAGTTGAATTAGTTGAGAAATATATAAATTATTTTAAATATCCACATTAATTAAAAAAAAAGTATGGGAGATGTGCACAGTGCATTTGTATGTGACCACTGACCAGTTTATGTGGTGGATGCTTGTCGAATCTTGAAATGGATTCAGTCACGGTCGCCCCTTCTGCTTGCAACGAATCCTTCAACTAGGCCTATTGGCTGCCGAGAGAAAGAGGCTTGTTGCCCGAGTCTAATTATCTTCTTCTTCTTGGTTTTTGCGATCCACTAGGAATTTTATTTCCTTGCCTCTCCGGTCTCTTCCCAACAAATCTAGCATGTTTTGCTCTGTCCATCTTGGGGGAGATGGACAAAAATCATTTTTTTTTAATTATTTCTTATTCTGACCCAACCATTTAATCTTAATACCAGCTAAGCGAATGGCTACAATTAATCACCAACAGCTAAGTTGGTTTGTCCTTGAGCAAGCAACTTAATAGAACACAGCTGCCAAGACTACATATGAAGTCCAAATGAACAATCAATATCAGGTAAGCATTGTGACCTAAAAAACCCTTCAAGTTAACCAGCATATGGTCAAATATAGTACTAAGGTTAAAGGAGGAGTCAAATAGATAGAGTTCATCGCAAAATCTTAATAGGTAAAAGCGCAAAAACTGAAATTTTCCATTTCAGCCGTCTAATTCTAGCATGATTATAGATTACAGAGAAAGGAGCCGGACGCTGGACATGGTCGTTTGCATATAAGTTCCCAAACTTTGGAGAGTTATATATATAATTGTTATAATTCTAGCATATAAGTTTTTAATTGTTATATATATATAAAAGCATGATCTATAAGTCACCTTGCCAAAAATAAATGAATTAAATTGTCAAAACTAGAAAATTAATCAAATATCGCAAGTACTAGCTTTGCCTATAAATCCTTGTTATAAACTCGTATCTAATTAGATAGAGAAAGGATGCTTTATCTCAACACAATTTAAGTTTTAACTTCGTGCTGAAAGTCCGAGACATCTTTTTTTGTTACAAGTACCATCATGATGGTATTTCCGATAGTATTTTATATGCAGAGACTAATCCTTTGTTTTTGGATCCCAGATAAATCACTCGCACGAATGTATTCTCATATGACGACCTTTTCTTCCTTCGACTGGAACCATGAAATTGGAAAGGAAGAGACAACGGTCAATCGAAAATTAAAGAGGTTAACATATATGATATCTTCCTCTCCTGCTACTTAACTTTAGCACGCTACGAGTCCAACAAATGGCAGCGTCACATCACGCATCTAGTGCCCGAACGGTGCCGCCCGTGAACTGTAAGAAACGGCGAGATCTATGTTCAAGGATTTTTCTAGTTTCACACATCTACGTTAAGTCCAAATATTCCTCCAAGAATGGCAGCTTGCTGTCCAAAAGTGGCAGATATTCTGAATATAAACTATACCCCGTATGGTATTGTTGCACGACACCTGTTATGCAGCCAAAAAGAGTCATATTCGATCCTCGCAGCGTGCGCGTGTTCATTGTGGTAACATGTGGACGTTGAATTTATACTCCTACATGGCCTCAGTACAATTCAAGAAAGTAATGAATTCGTCATATATAGAAAGGAAGAGCAAAAAACAAATGTGTTACAATGAAAATATGGTCCATTACCTAAAGATTTGGGATTCAACGTGGTATTCAAATCTAAACAAGCCATTAAGATTCTCTTGTGCATGAAGCAAAGAGTTTGGGTCAAAATCAAATTAAAGATTTCAAAAGCACACCAAAACAATGCAATGGAGAGTTGCACGCTAGCTAGAAGGATTCTTTGGAAATTCAGTAGTAAGAGAGCTCACGGGCCAGGCCCCTGTGGCCCCAATTACACACTGCCCATTCTTTTCCCTGTGAAAGTATTCCCAAATGTGGTCACTCTAATAGCGCAACATCACCACTTCACCACGAAGGCCGAAAGGTGCCTCGTAAATAATTTGCTGTCAAATGGCGAGTGTATTACCCTAGCTATCGATAAATACTGTTCTTAACAAAGTCTTCTTTTCTAGGTTTCACCATCCTCTAGTAGCTTCTTCCCTTGCAGGCGAATCTATCCATTCCTTAAGTGGAGAATCCATTCATTAATTACTTGATCAAGTCTCCAAACAACTGTTTTCCTTTACAGTACTATTAGCTTTTCATAGTTGATATTGATTTGAAGTTCTTCCCAAAGTTGGTTTGTTCTATCATATATCGATCACTGACGGTTGACCTTCTGTTTCTTCACTTTATATTAATCAATTAGGTTGCGGATTCAATGGTTCTGATGACTTTAGACAAATTATGAGTTAATTCCTGGAATTTTATAATTACACAATATCTACACGTCTAGCGGACCCTAAAAAGTTGATTTGTGTCTAGTCGCTACACCTCAAGTCTTGCTTCTCTGGTTTTTGGCTATTAACTGAAGCTTGGTGGAGTTGTCTACAGAGGATCTCTTGCTCATTAAGCTGTTTCCTGATCTTCTGGCATATGCATTTTGTTTTTGCTGCAGTTTCATTGGTAATATTTCTCCCCAGCGGCTAGCTTGTAGCCTCATGGTGCTTCTCTGCTACAAGAAAAAAGAAAAGAAAAAGGAAGAAGCCTGTACGACCCAAGTCTTCAAGAAAATTACTCCAATGTCAAACCAGTACCACTAACTGCATATGGCCGTAAAACATTCCAGGAAGGCTTGACCTTTCTTTAAATGTCCTTTTCATACCTTTCAATTTCCTAATCTCCCATCAACTTGCTTGCTGCTTGCCACTTAATTTGAAGATCAGATGACGTTTAGTCACAATTCCATCTACATGTTGTCTTTAACGGTTTACATCAATACTGAAACATTTTTACTACTGACATCCCCTCATGGAAGAGCTAATGATCTCTTATAACTGATGGTACTCGTATTTGTAAGCTGAGTAGAATTGCATCCTTCTAGTAGTGGATTTGGTACAAGCTAATCTGCTTGATTTCTAATTCAATATCAAGGCATAGTTTGTTCACTAATGTCAAGAAACAGACATGGGACGTCATGGTGATGCATTTCTTACCTTTTTTTCTTCGCTAGGCGGTGATTATATATTAATGTATTCTTTTAGTCAACGGATTTTTCATATTAAAGAGTCGCACGGCATGTTTTTCGAGCAACTATATGCAGTTCCACATCAGGCAAATGCATATTTGATCGAGACTAAGGCAAGGTTTGGAGCAGTAGAGGCAAAGAACACTTGAGGGATAAGTGCATATTTTGTAGATTGCACTTATTATTAAACAGGTTCATAACTTCAACCAGCAGCTATCATACCGAGGAAAGGAGGTGCTTGGGAGTTTTAAGTTTTTAAAATAATCATTTTAATATAATAGTTTAAGATTTTAAGATATGATATATATTATTTTTTAATATATTTTATTAAATAAAAGTTCTTAGAATTTGAAAATTACACCACCTATTACTTAATTTTTATTAAATAAATAAGAATAATAAAATTTAAATTTATGACTACTTGGTTATCAAAATTTTAATACTATATTAAATAACCATCTCAACTCAGTAGATTAAAATGTTAGGTGGGATTTTAAAATATAATTTATATTATTTTTTAATAGAGTGTGTTATGATTGGTTTTCAAAGTATTTTTTGTTTGTATATATATCAAAATAATATTATTTTTAAAAATTATTTTTGTATCAATACATCAAAATGATTTAAAAATATATATAAAAATAATTTTAAATAAAATTTTTTAAAAAAAAACACAATTTCTGTTGTATTACTAAATGGTAATGATCATTATTGAATTCATTTTTAATCAATTATTGTATTCAAGTTGGTACGAATATTCTTTAATGAAGTATGTTAGGATTAATTTTTAAATTTTTTAAAAAAAAAATACTTTAAAATAATATTATTTTTAAAAAAATTATTTTTAATATCAATATGTCAAAATAATTTAAAAATATATATAAAAAATAAATTTAAACAAGAAAAAATTTTAAACTTTAAGAAGGCAATTTCTGCCGTATTACCAAAGGATAATGATCATTATTGAATTAATTTTTAATCAATTATTGCATTCAAGTTGGTACGAACTCATTGACTAGGAGTTTGTTTTTATGGTTTCTTTCTCTCTTTCATTTTTTTTTTGTAAATTTAAATCCAAAACTATAGCATGAGAAACAAATCTACTTACCAGCTATTCTAGCTGTTAAGTCCGTGAAGAATTTGATGGTGTGCTAAAGTCAGACGAATTAATCTGCTAAGAAATATTATTGGTAATCTAAAATGAGAAGTTATGCTTGGTTGCACAAAAACCATGCTACGATATGCCATTTACTGAACTACATGTGAGATACACCATATATCTCAATAAAATCTTAGCACCTTCTTTTCTTGACCTAATAAAATCAGTCTTAAAATTTGATGATCAGAAGGAAGAGCTTACCAAACAGTG